GGCCATATCTGCCAGCTGCTTCAGCAGATGGGGGCATTCTGGTGTCAGGAGGCTTTGCCTATGTCATAGATGGGCAGCTGGGAAGGCAGCAGCAGTGACAGTAGCACACAGTTCAGAAGGGCTGGTCTGCCTTAAACTTGAGCAGGGCTGTTTCAGCCCACTCCTAGTAGAATGTTGCCAATCACTGGTCTACATAATTAAGCATTGTGAAAAATAGACGATTTACTAGCATAACTGAATTTCCAATCCTTTGAAATAACACCCATTAACACTGGAGTCTGTCAGGATTATTAGTTAAAAATACATTAGTCAGAAAGAAAAGAGCTAGTGAGCATTTCAAATGGGCTCTCATGCACCTGCTCTGGGCCCATATTCTATTTAATATTTTTATTAATGGCTCAGATGATGGAATATAGAATACACTTCAAATTTTACAGACAACACCAAGATGGGAGGCACTGCAAATAACAGGATTAGAATTCAAGTTGATACCAATATCTTGGAAAAAGCGATCTCAAAATAGTAAGATGAAATTCAGTAAAAGTGAAGTGCAAAGTACCATCAGTTTAAAAAAAGTCTAATGAATAAATAACTGCCTATGCAAAAAAAAATAATCTGGGGGATGACAGTGGATCACAAACTGAATACAAGTCAAAGTGACACTGTCGCTGAGCAGTTTTCCTGAGATGGTGAGGGTGCAATCCAGAATGATACCCAGGTAAGCTGTGTTAAATATCAGTCTCTTTCTGGCCAAGAAAACTATTAGTTCCTGCAAGGCTGTACAAGTTAAATGCAAACACTTAATTGTCTTAATTATGCTGATTCAAATTCCATTTTTACAGTATTTATACAAGTTCTTCATATCTTCACTAAGCGTTTGATTTTTTTTTCAAGCCTTTATCCTTTGTTGCTACACAAACATCACTTGCACATTTGAAGATTCTTGATGGTATGTCATTTGTATACAAATTTAATAGTCAGAACAAGCACTGAAACCTGAGGTAGAAGAGTGAAGATTTTTTTTTTTATGAAGTATACTGGAGGAACAGCTCTACTGTGAGAAATATCCAGCTGGGTAGTTAGTTTGGGGTATTTTTAAGAGAAGGCTGTTGTTTCACAAACTGCTCAGAAACTAATACATGCAGATCCAATCCTCTGGTTATTTTGAAATCTATTCTCTAAACAAGATGTAAGAGTCTAAACTTATTCACAGGTGTTTCTATTTGTTCTAAAGCTTGTTTATTTGTGTACTAGATTTTTTTTTCCCTCTGCAGGATCAGATGTTCCAAAAAACTTGCAAGTGCAACTTAGTGGGCCTATAGATCAACAGGTTTTCTGGTTAAGAGTTTCTTTCCTTCATAGAAGAATAGTTCTCATCTGGGCTTTCTGCCATGTATTCAGTACCCAATTTTCTTGAACAATATACAACATAATTGTTGAGAGACACTATACAGTCCTTAAATGTATTCCTACTGAAATCCCATTCAACTGGTACACCTCTCCTGGTTCTTACATATCTAAGGGCTGAAAAATAGCTATGTAGGTTTGAGGTGGCCTCAGTACCTAGGAAGTAGCCATTCTTTTTTTCTTTTCTTTTTTTTAAAATCAATCAAAATGCTTAGCAGCAGGGCAACACAGACAGTGTTTGTGACACAAGAGATAAACTGAGCATGTCCAAAATATTAAATTTAAATTGAAAAACAAACTAGGAGGTTGTTCTTGTCATGAGGGCATCCAAGAATGACTTGATTAAATAACTGACCCATTTGCATTAGGCTACAGTAGGGCACCTAAGGACCTGAGGTTTGTAGTGGACTGCAAGCTGAATGGGAGTCAGTGTACTCTTTTGTGCAAAAGAGTAAAAAAGGCGAACAGCATGCTGGGTTGTATTAAACAGAATTGATGTTAGCAAGTCTGGCTAAAGAGATGAACACCTCAACTTTATTATCCGTATTATGACCTTTTTTAAAGTAACAAGAATATTTTATCTTATGGATTTTCCCAGCATACAAACTGGCACACTTTTGTAACTTTTTTTTGCATTCAGGGGGAGTGGCTGAAAGAGCGGGGGGGTAGGGGGGAGGAGTGCAGGCTTGGGCCCCATGCACAGGGGCATGACTCAAACCTCCACAGACCCATGGGGAGCCCCATGGCCCAGATGACGGTATCAGGGCTGGATCTTGCCTGCCAGACAGGGATTGAGCACCCCTGCTCTAGGTAATCTGTTCCATTACAACACTCTTGTCAATCCCAGATTAGTTTTGTCAGCCATCTTTCGACCCACAGAAGACCCACATCTTCCGCTGTGAGGGACTGCCAAAGATAATCTGTTCCAGTGTTTACACTCTCCTAATGACATGGTTCTTCCTAGTGTCCAGCCTAAAAATCTTCCTTGATGCAATTTAAGATCATTACTTGTCCTGTCCCCTGCAGTCAGAGAGAAAAATCAGCAATCACCCTCTTTATAAGCATCCTTTAGATTTGTGAGGATTTATCAACATGCCACCTTCTCCATCCTATCTTCTCGGCCCCAGACTAAATAATCCCAGTTCTCCCATCCTTTTCTTGCAATTCATGCTTCTCCTAGAACTTTAGTCACTTTTGTTGCTCTCAACTGGACTCTAATTTGTCCACATCTTTCTTTAAGTACAGTGCCTAAAAACTGGACATAATACTTCAGATGAGGAGTCACTAGCACTGAATAGAGAGTGTAAGAACTGCTTGCCTTGACTTGCTAACAACAATCTTGTTTAATACAACCCAGCATGCTTTTGGACTTTTTTTCTCTTTTTGCATAAAAAGGCACACTAATGACCGTATTCAGCTTGCCGTCTGCTATAAAGCTCAGGTCCTTAGCTGCAGTACTGTAGCCTAGCTAGTCTTTCCACATTTTAAATTTATACATTTGATTATAGTCCAATATAATTCCAGGACTTTTGCACTTGTCCTTACTGAATTTCATTCAATTAATTTCAGGCATTATCAATTCATTTCAGACCATTCTGAATCCTAATCTTATCCTTCAAAGTACACAGAGCTCCACACAGCTTTATGTACCTGAAAATTTTCTAAGTGCACACTCTAAATCATTAATGAAAATATTTAACTGTACTGAAACTAGGACAGACTCCTTAGAAACCTCACTTGGTATCACCTTAATAAAACAGATACTACTCATTCAGGATATGCTACCTGTGATGGTATGCCTAATCATACATTTGGAAATACTTTTCATAGACAATAAATTATGTTGAAGAAAATCAATTACTAAAAGCTTTTTGTGAAATGTTTACCACTGCATGAAAGGACTTCTCTTCTTGTAAGAGGTCCAGCAACTATTTTTTTCTCTCTTCTTTTAAATGTTTTATTATTGCTAGCTATTTAATGGCCAAATCAAGAAAGTTTACTTTTCTTAATATAAACCTCTTCCATTTATTTTTACAGGGTTCCTAACAAAACAAAACAAAACCTAACTGCTTGAAGTCTTCATTTATTGACACCAGCAAGCGTGAGAATATACAGTTTTCCAATTATCAATTACAGAAGTAGATAACTATTTAAACAGCAGAAGTTCAAACCTTTTTTATCAAGAAATGGGGGGACGCGGCACTAGAAATGTGTAACGTTTTTCAAAGAAATATGTTAAAAAGAAAGACAGCAGATTCTCAACAAGACTACACTTATTTTGTATGAAAATCTTTTAGGCCTAATATTATTGTGTCAGAAAATTCATCAAAATCTTAGAATACCTAGATTTCTGCATGGAATATGGATTTAAATAGGCTATTGCTTTATGTGATAAGTCAAATGATAGCTATGTTGACACTAAAATTTCTGAAAAATAATTCAGGATTTACTCCAAAGTCTTGTTTTGAGAAAAGGCTGATTTAATCATAAAGTTGTAAACTACTCTTCAAATAAAAAAAAAATAGGAATACATATGAAAATATCAGAACATTTGGTAAAAAGAAACTTTCATCAAAAACAGGCAGCTACCATTAGTTAGAGGCTAGCATAGAATATAGCTCTTCATATCTAAGATGATCTTGAATGGACACAACTATTTCACAATTATTTTGTACTTCAGAGTTATTTTGCATCATTGGGATGCAAACATTGACCTGAGTTGTATTTAGAAACAGTCATGCATGTGTCATACATTTTCCTTTTGTGAAACATACAAGAAAATGGCTGAGCACTCTCAATTTAATTTGAATTATGTTGTTTATATTGTATGAATATTTTATGATCATACTATCTTCGATACACAAATACATCCAATTCTCAGGAGCTGAAAGTAGAGAGAAAATGAGGAAACTACCTACCAATACATAATTTATTTACTGTTTTAAACAGGTTTTCATCAGGAAGATTTTTTTTTTTTTTTTTAAATAGAGGAAAACAACAAGACTGAAAAAGAATTGCATCAAAGTCCAGGTAGCATCTGTTTACACATGTGCATGAGAATATATTCCAGAAAAGCTCTATTATACCTTATAAAATATATCTTTTTTGTATCCAGAGCTGAACACTGGACATTTGTGAACTTACTTTATAACTGTTCCTTTGGTGCCCCCTGCTGTTGTAAGCATGACTCTAGTAGTTAAACTGACACGTAAATCATCCTCATCCAAACCCAGCAGTTCTGCACAGTATTCTAAGGATTTACTAGATTTGTTCTTCAGAGTACATCCACCTAATGAACAAGTTCAGAAAGATTTCACAGCAGCAAAAAATAGAGATAATATTTAGTGTCCATGCATTAAAAAAGCACAAACTCGTAACAGTCACTTTGATCAATATTTACATTATACTAAAGATCATTTCACAGTGGCATGTGCCGCATACTGGGCAACATCTACATGTCGCTTTATGGTGATGTTGCTACAATGCCATGTTTTAGTGCTTCCAAAAGGAAGTACTAAAGCACGGTACAGTAACCACCCATACTGTGCTGTGCACACAGCACACGTTTAGATTGCCCCGCTACGTTGCCATAGCAACATGCTAAAATAGGGAGCACACCACTGCGGTGACATAGCTGCCAAGCACGTGTAAACCCATAGCATGCCGTGTGACATGTAGATGTGTCCACTGAGGTGCAAGATACAGGTTTAAAGTAGAAAAACAAGATTAGTGTTAGAATAATGTTTTGGTATTCTCAAATAATTTTTTAAATTATGAAACAAACCATTTCTAATTGGCACCCTAGATCTTCTTTGGAGCAGTACAGTAACAAACTGCACAAAAGGTATTCTGTACATGAAAAAAAACAAGCTGTGCTTTCTATACACAGAAAAACAGGGTTAGAAATGTGTCTAAAAAGAATGACGCAAAAGTTATAACTGAACAAGAATCTAAACTTAAATTTGCTCTTCGACCAAATAGATAGCAGCAGATCCATAAATAAACTATAAACAACAAATAAAAAGTTAACATAAAATTACCCTAAAAGTGACATGTATAAAAATGAGAATTTTCTCAGTTTCTTGGTTTATTTACTTATTTTCACTAAAGCAGAACCATGCCTGACATGCAAGGCAAAACATTTCCAGTGTTTCCAAAACTTTAACCCATGTTTACAGCGAACCCCTAGAACAGAATAGAACAGACTTAATTCCATACTCATATGATACAATCTGTAGCATCACCAACTGGATTAGTTCACTTATAAAAGATTTTCGGAGGGTGAAGGGGGTGAGGAGCAAGGCAAGTAGGGGGCCAGGCCCTCTTATTGGACCAACTGTACGGCTGGACTAAAAAGAAGTTAGACAAGCTTTCAAACAGAAGACATTCATCATCAACCGTGGCTACTGTTCCACTGTAGCCACAGCTCCTGGCAGATGTTAAAGGCAGTCCCACAACCAGGGTCTGAGGAATTTTATGCTCCATCCCCCAAAATTATGTAACCTGCTGTGCCCAGAGCCTGGCACTGGGAGTCTGAGCCTACCCCATGCTGATCCCAGCAATCAGCATAACGTTACCAATCAGCTGCAGGTTTGCAAAACCACAGACTAGCTGGTCCCAATTAAAATGTAGTTACTTACTGTTCTACTATATAAAGTACTCAAGCCAGAAAACTGTTATATACACTGTAGGGCTGTGCAAAGCTTTGGTAGCTGATTCAATTCGGAAGAGATTTAGCCCAATTCGGCAGCCGAATCTCTAAATCTGAATTGAACTGGGAGATCCATTAATCTCTCTAAATTGAATCAGAAACCTCCAAATCGATTTGGAGATTCAGCCACAGACTGTACAGGCAGGCACTAGGCAGCGTCAGCGGGAGCAGGCAGGGGAGCCCCGGCTTAAACCGGTAGCCACAGGAAAAGCCCGAGCAGCCTTGTTCGGCTGTTCCCCGGCTGCCCCCTGCCAGGGTGAGGCAGGCAGTGCTGGCAGCCCTGGGAGAAGCCACAGGGGCTGGGGAGAACAATGGGG